GATAGCTAGCTAGAGAGAGAGAGAGAGGGGGGATGTTCATGGTTTCATGTTAGGACAGCAAAGGCGGTAGTGTTTGGACTAAAGCCAAGGTTAACACACAAAACACACAGCACACAAACAAAGGCCAAATCTCTCTGTGACCATTCAAATGAGGCTGAGTCAGCGGAGCACTTGGCCAAGCCACAACAGGTGTGTGTGTGTGTGTGTGTGTGTGTGTGTGTGTGTGTGTGTGTGTGTGTGTGTGTGTGTGTGTGTGTGTGTGTGTGTGTGTGTGTGTGTGTGTGTGTGTGTGTGTGTGGAGAGATATGGCATATGATATACTGCAGTCACAATACTCAGTGGGGCACTGGGTGATGGACGAAAAGACTCGATGCGAGTGTGTACTTCAAACTTTTCAGTTAGTAGTCGACACAAATGAGCAGTAGTGAAAACTTTACCTTAATTTTGACAAATAGCTTTGGCTATTCTTCCTGGGGTCCACACACATGCACTGCAGTCAACAGATATTAAGACACTAGTCACATGAACACAACAAATGTAAAAAAGCACAACAACACAACGATCAAGTACGGCAGTGAAACAAAAAGGATCCTCCTTTTTAACCATCATTAAGCCATACACGATATTAATAATCACACAATATCTCAATAATTAATCTAATACTTTCACAAATAAATAGTAATTCATAGCAAATATAATTCCGCAATTTGAATATTTGTCTATCCTGTGCTTTCAGCCATATTTTAATCCAGGACAAAAGTAATGTAATTTTAATGCTTTAATTTGCCAATGTTCAGCCAATTTAAGTTACTTTGTAAAATCTGGGTTGGTAGTTCAGCAACCCATCGTGTTACATTAATGTAGTTAAGTTAAAAGTACACATTTTGACTGTAAAATGTGGTGGAGTAAGAGTATGCGTAGCCTAAAATAAATGTAAATACTGAGTACAGTACAAGTACATGAAGTACAAGTATGACAAAATAATAGTAACGTACAATACTTGTAGTAAATGTAATTGGTTATATTCCACTGCTGCTGATAAGTGTGTTGGTTGTTGGCTTTGGACTAAGTGGCTTAGCGACATAATTCCACAACTATCCCATTAGCAGATATGATTTAGCACTGCGGCTAATGGCCTTCCAATAGCTCAATGACTAATGCGCTGACTTTAAGTGGCTAAAGCCATTTCTAACTCTCTCACAATAAACTGCTCCCTGCCACAAGAATGTAAGTGGCGGGACTCACATAGCTGTGGAGGTTGTGTGTGTGTGTGTGTGTTGCACTGAGGCACTAGACTAGAGACTATCTTCCTCTCGCTATCAGAGAAGTGTTGATGTTTTGATAGAGCCGTGAAGAACAACCCACAGTGTGGTATGTCGACTTATCTGATGTACGGTGTCAGGCTCGGTCCCTGATGCAAAACTTGATGCCTGCTATAGACTTACCTCAAACATTTATTTGTAGTTTGCTGCCACATCAAGTTTCCTTTTTGTGTTTGGGATCACAGCCTATACCCAAACCCTAGTGGTGAAGGAATGAGTCTAAAAACCTTGAAATGAGTTAGCATTCTAGTACTTTCGGTTCCCTCGTCCTAAAGTCAAAGCGTTTATAAATGGGTTTTTGGTTAGATTCCTAAAATAAGGTTGGTGGTTTACACTAGCTTAAGAGATGTTCTCCCTATGTCCCTTGACATGAATAATGTCTGTAAATACTAGGGATGCTCCGATCAGGGTTTTTGGGGGTGATCACCGGAATTAGAATCGGCCGATACCGATCGCAGATCCGATCATAGGGTGGGTGGGGGCTATGGGGATCTTCCTTTTAAAGTGATTAAAACTCAGTTAATGGGGCAAATTCTTATATTGCTTCAGTTTATAATCGTAACGGATCGAAGTTCAGATTCATTTTTCAATAAATGATGCGCTTCCACAAACAACATAATTATTACATTCAAATGAAGTACATTATTCAAGTTTATTTATTATCAACTGGATAATAACATGGGAGAAATGAGCGGAAGCGCTCTCTTTTCCTCTCCCCCTCTCTCTCTCTCTCTCCTGACAGCCCGTCAGTATCTCATGCAGCTCGCTGATCCAGTAATGAGTGACCCGACAGTGAAGAATACATATATTTATAACAGTTTAGCTTGTTCCAGAGCTAGATAAAATAGCTAAGTGTGTTAGGTCTAACTCTTGTGTGTGTTGCTCCGCTCACCGGTTCGTCACAGCGGGTGGAGCTGCAGGATTTCTGCTTCACACACGTTGCACACCGCTATTTTATTGTGTTTTTCGGACACCTTGAACAACTGCCAGACTGGTAAAGCCATTTTGGCGAGCTTGTTTTGCACAGAGAAAAGTGTCTTGTATTTTGCGCCATCTGATCGGCTCTCACGATTGGCCTTAAAAGAGAGCACCGATCGATCACACTATTAAGAGTGAATATCGGCCGATAACGATCGGCGGCCAATTGATCGGAGCATCCCTAGTAAATACCCCACTGGTGATTAATGAAGCTTGTGTCATAACAATGACAGTTGCTAACTAGTGACTAAATAAGACTAATATTTCAAGTTAAGTTTTAATGTACTCTTAGCTTTTCACAGGGGGTTACTTATACCCACTTGAGATCATTTTAAACCATCTATCCATTTGCGACCATTATCCACTGAGGAGGCACTTTGTCTGTTTGTGGCCGGACGCCCTGATAGAGTCAGAGAAAGTAATGGAGCCCACGCTCTCTTTCCAGGATTGAGGTGTTTGTCTGGGAAGAGCAAACACGTGCTAGTGTTAGAGATGGAGGTCAGCATCACAATGAGAGAGTGAAGGACTCCCTTATTAGGACAGCTTCCAGCAGCTGAGACAGGATATAGCACGCTAAATCTCACTGTGGAATGTATGACAATGGAGCGTGAATGCCTGTGCTTCTGTCCTGAAGTGTGTTTTTAACCTTACACAAATGGAAAAGGGAAAAGTAATCGAGGTTATTATCGTCAGCTACGCACACTTGCCACCTTTTTATTTAGTCTCTGACCCACATACACAATCACTCGGCCTGCTCACACAGATGCGTGCACACACAAACTTCATACAGGAGTCTTTGTTCGCTCGGCCTAGTCCTTTAGGGGCACACGGACAGCAGATTTGATCTCCATGAGTCACTGAACTTTGAAGTAGAAAATGTATTTAGCCCTGGTTTGGAGATGAGCCACGCTCATGTCATCCCGTTATTAGACAGACACTGTTCAAGGAAACTTCCCCAGATTCGTCATTCAAGGCAAAGTCTGAGAAAATACACTTTGTCATTGTCTTAATTTGGTCTGTAGTGATGTCTGCTTATTATCATGACTCTGTCTTAGGTCATCTATGGCATGTTTTTAAGCGACATTGTATTCCACATGTTCTCTTTCTTGCTCATTTGTACCCTAACTGAGTGAAAGGACTTAACTTTATTCGTGCAGAATGGATCATTGGTGACTCCTGAGTGAATGCTTCCACAACTAGCGGTCTTCTAATTGACCTGCTTGTTTTGAAGTGCCTGTTGCGTTCACTTGGAACAGAGTGGTGTCAATCAGCACAATGTTACATTTGAACAATCATTAAACTCACCATGATAGGAAAGTGAAAGTTCAGGAGGTGGATCAGACCGGTTCCACCAACTTTTGAAAAGTGTGTCAAAGTTTCTGAATTATTCCTGTTGTCTGAGATCACCATTGCTTGATTTGTTTGTTAGAGGGAATGCGCCTTGGATTATACATTTGTTTGGCACTATTGTGCAGCTGGTTTTGTCTATAACATTCAAATCAGTTGTACGATTGACAGCTACTTGTTGTTGTAGCTCGTAATGTTTTATCAATGGAAGCTATCCCATGCTGCCGTAGCTTCTCATTTTATCGGGTTTATAGATTGAAGTCCAACGCATATATAAGGTAATTGAATTGCTGCACCTTTATGACTTTACTTCGGACTCTCTTTTGCTTTTAGTTTGTAGAAGTAAAAGCAGTAAGGCCTTAAAAAATTTGACCTAATTTAATCTGTGGTTACAGTTAACGATCATGTGAAAAGAAATGCACTATTATACCTTGTGGGGTGTAGTAAGTGTATTACCAATAAAGGAAACTAAAATAATATTTTAAAGGAAAGACATTTTTTGGGGCATTTACAACATTCATGGGGAACTTTAAAAAAAAAAATGTAAATGTAGCTTAAAATGAATTAAATTGTGTTTTATTACAATAGTGGTCTTAACTGGTAAATCATTGTATTTTATCTTGGTGTCAGTACTTGCCACAATCAAGTATGTTTTTGGGCCATTCTGATTCTTCTTAGGGTAGTTAAGCCCTTTTGCCTCTCAAACTGAAAACGAAAACATCTCCTGCCAACTCTTCTCTGAGCTCGGGGACGCTCCTCCCAATTAAAAACACCTCTTGCGTCTTACGCTCTGTAACTTGATGGTGCGATGCCTTCTCGATAACTCCCGTGAATGCTCTCACATTTTGCACTCGTCTCCCCCTTCCTTCCGCACTTTCTCTGCACCTTGGAATGAAGAAGTGTTAAAAAGCTTGGCGGGCTGCTGCAGCAAAAAAACCTGCTGTAATCGTCTCGCATCTCACTTTTTCTCTATTTTTAACCGTGCAATGCAGTAGGTGAGGAAACGTGCCGGAGATGTGATGGCTTTGCTTCTGCTGATGCTGGTCCCACCTTGAATTCTCAAGAAGCTCTTTCTTTGTGCCTGCTGTTCCTCTTGCTCCTGTTCTCTGTACTCACATTTTCTCTGTACCTGGGTCTTTATCTCCGCAGTTCTCGTTTATCTTCCCTTGCCTTTCCTGCGTCAGCACCTGCTGCTTTCCAACCTTTACATTTCAACTTCATTAGCACCTCCCAGATTTTCACTGTGCCACAGCTCTTCTGCCTTTTTATATCTGTCTACATGGGTGATTTATATATCTGTTCTTTAATGAAATCCCGCTGTTGGTTTGAATCTCTTCTTCTCTCTGGTGTTGACCTTTGTCCTGTCCTTTCCTGTGCTCTGATCTGCTCTGCTCCCAGCGTGTGAATGGAGCAGTGTGCGAGTACGGCCTCCCTGCTGGCCTCGGTGCGGGAGCAGGAGAGGCAGTTTGAGATGCTGAGCCGAGCTCTTGAGGAGGAGCGGAGGTCGTGTGCCGGCACCTTGCCCCGCCCCCTCCCCAACATGCAGGTAACATGGAAAAAACTCCCCTCGCCCCATTCCATTTTTTTCCCTCCATCACGAACATTTTCCATCGAAAAACGTCCCTCGCATTAGGGCTGCTCGATTATGGCAAACATCATAATCTCGATTATTTGGGTCAATAATTGATATCACGATAATAAAAACGATTATCCATTTACATTGAAAAAATGTGAACAGCATGTTTTTAACAGTTGATTACCCTGAACTTTAATTGTAATTCAACTGAAAAACCAATACAAATAATTTAAAAAATAATAATAATCATTTTATTTCGATGTTGTTTTCATAACCGTTGCAAGCCAAAATCGTAATTGCGATTTAAAATACGATTTAATTGAGCAGCCCTACCTCACATTCAACCTTGATCCGAGCAAGTTCATCCTATGTTTCATCTCCATGGTCACCTCCATCCCTTCTGTTTTGTATGTTGTGATATTGGCCTTTTCTGGACCATCATCAAGAGTTAACCTTTGTAGCTACAGTATGTCAGCCAGCTGGTTTATCTACGATTCGCTTTCATGTTCTGGAATAAGGAAGACGTCCTTGGCTACTTTTTTCAGCGGGACAAAGTCCGTTAACTGGTTTTCCTTCAGTCCTGTTTCATCAGCTGTGAATCATTGGGTAAAATCTGAGTCAGAGTGTGTAGCTAATACCATTTGTTTCACTTTTTGCAGACACACCCTGTGTAGCATGCATGAGTCATATACCTGGTTCAGGCACTGTCGAGTGACTTCATACTCAGACAGGCACACCTACGTACTCTCGCTCATTCTTTTACTTCCTTATTGACACATTCTACTATTAGTGTGCGTGAATAAACTGGCACACACGCATACTTTTGGCCCTTAGGCAACCTTTGAAACAAACAGGACTCCCTCACTTTCTGTCTTTGTCGCACATGCATGTGGGCAGGAGGACACATTCCAGCCCCAGGTAATTCTGGAGGCTGATAAGAAGCAGAAGCATAGTATGTGTGTGTGTGTGTGTGTTCGAATGGGACAGAAATGTAGCCTATGCAACTCTAGTCCTTATCTCTGCCGTGTGTGTTTACATAGCCCAAAGGCTTCGGCATGCCTCTGCCACTCTCCCAGGCAGCGCAACACAACCTGAGTCTCCACTGACAGGTTCCCACACGCTCACATCTGCCATCACACACTTTCTATTCTTCTCTGAGTCCTTGCCTGAATTAAAGTGTGTTCATATACCAAAAGTATTAAAAAAAACAAAACAGATTTAGGCAAAGAATGTAATTACGAGCAGCATTCACTTGTTTAGGTTTTTAAGATTGAGAATACAACATTACTGTCAGTATGACATGAATGTATGCTATCCGATCACAGAAGGGATCTACCCCCCTTAACCCCCATGTAGTGGAGATAAGAGAGGTGCGTAGGTCCCCCTGTGGCTGGAATGGGAAGTTAACACCCATCACCACTCGCTGGCTGGACATGCCGGTGGTGTGGAATTTGTTGTTTTTGTTTGTCTCTCTTTATGGGTCATTATTCATTACTAATTACTTCATCTTTTCATTGCATTTTACAGTTCATTCACAAGATTGTCGGCTGTCATTAAGAAGTTGCTTGGGTTGAATAATTGAAATTAATTTTTGCTTAGTGATTATTTTCATTGACAATTCCTAGCGTAATTTATTTTAGTTGTATCACTGTAAGGAAACACATGTAATTGAGCAGCACAGTAATCATAGCACTGAAGCCTTACAGAATAAAGCTGGCTTCACTTTACTGTACATGAGTAGCCTGTCACTCTGGACACCTTTTAAACTGCTCAGTCCATGTCGTGATGTGTATGTGATGTGTTCAGACACGTATAGTCATTCCAAGCAGTGATTGTGTGTGCTGGATTCCCCTCATGTATGTTTCTTCTCTTCAGAACGGTCGCATTCCTTGTGATGCAGACATAGAGAGGCTAACACTGAACGAGGGTTACATCAACGGGACACATCACGTAAGCATATTCTGAAGACAACTTTTTCTTTCCGTGCTGTTTAATTCCTAAAAACGTAAGGGCCGCCATATACACCAGGGACCAGGGTTCAAATTCGGCTTGGGACCACTTGCCGCATGTCATCCCCTCCGTCTCCTTGTCTCTAAAATAAAGTCACTTACCGCCCAAAAACTATTAAAAAACATATCCTTAATAAGGCCTATATTAAAGTTTTTTTTCCACTGAAATATGTGCAGTTCAGGATGGATCCTGGACAGATGGTGCAGGAGACGTACATGGTGCAGGAAGACCCTCAGGAGGCTCCACCTGTTATCTCCGTGGAGACCAATGAAGACGGGACCACGAGGCGCACAGAAACCACGGTAACTTGAGAGGATAAAAATGGAAATGACTAATTGACTATAAGAAAAATAGTTTTGAGTTACATACATCCGAAGCCCAGAAAAACAGATACACATTAGCTCCTGCTGTCAGCACATGTCACATTATTTGCCAATATGGCCTACATACATTGGTGCATCTTTACTTGTAAGTGACATCATTTTAAGCTTACATACTAAATGTTGTCTCTTCACCCCTTCGCTGTTTCAGGTAAAGAAAGTAGTAAAGACCACTACCACTCGCACAGTCATCCCCTCCGTGTCAGACACACTGTCCCTGGATGGGGGGGGCTCAGTGACAGGAATGAGTGCCTGCACTGGACCAGTCTACAGACAAGCACAACCAGCTGGACCCATGGATTACCCCACTCACACTGTGCCCCGCAACTACCACTATGGACCGCCAGCGGGCTACGAAGACTACCGCACCGGGCCCCCGTCGGAGGCCTACACCAGCCTGAGCCGGGGGGCGCGCATGGACGATCGCTACAGGTACAGTTTGTTGTTGAAAGCCATCAAGAGAATCTGAATACTTCATTTATCCTGAGGGCAATCAGGGTTTTGTGATAGTTTCCTACTTTAGAATCAAATAAAATGCAAAGATATATAACATGTTTTAATTGGTGGTGGCTCAGGGGTGAAATATGCCTCTGCCAATAGGAGCGGCAGTGGTTCGATCCCGACACATGCTGTCCGTACGTCAAGTGTCTTTCTGCGAGATACCTGCTCCTGTAGGCAAATCTATGGGATGGAAAAGTATCCAAGTTGCTTTGGATAAAAAGAAGAAGAAAAAAGCATCAGATAAATGACGTCATGTAGCGTAACATAAACAAGTTAAATTAAATGATAAATAAATAAAACTGATTAAAATATTTGTATTGACATAAGAGGTCAAATATGTGCACGTTATACTCTTTAAGTAGCAGTAAATATGTAAACGTGTATTACAATATATACCTTGGTGTATGAGCATTAAAAAAGACAAGTAGACTTTGAAACTTTAGACTCATCTTCTCTGCCCCTCCCTCCCCCTCCCCAGACCGGTCCATCCTGACGGTTACAGAACTCTGGATCTGAACTACAGAGCCGTCAGCAGGAACCAACTGGACCCCTATGCTGCTCAGCCTCAGGTATGATCAACAATCAGCAGCTCTGACATGCTTTCACCTCTCTGAACCCGGAGCAGAGTCTCTGGGTTTTACTGACACACTCCTCCCTGAGGCCTCTACGGAAACACACTTATCACACTATAAATCATAACAATTATACAATTCAGGTTCAATTCCTTTCACAAAAATTGGATACAATCTTTATTAATGAGATGTTTTCAGGTGACCACAAGTGTTGCTATTATAAGAAAAAAATATGCTACACATATCCAACTATTCCGACTTTACAACCTCCTGTGCGTCCTCCCCTCTCTGCTTTATGTAAACAGCCTGCAGTTCAGTTTAAGTTTAATGAGCTTTTATCACATGACTGTCTGTCATAGCTGAGTCATTCGTGACTTCCCAGTTGCTCTAAGGTGTGGAGAATGTTATGTTTTCACAAGATATGGTGTCTGGAAATGAGAAATGTTATCAAAAAGTTATTTTGATACAAAAAAATCACTATTTTAGACATAGATTTGTATGATTTTGTTCCTGACTAAAGCAAGGATAATTATATGTTCAAGGAACGTTTGAATTTGAAAATTTGTTTTGCTAGTTTCAGACTATGATAAATAGGTACAATAAAAAAATCATCATCGTTGTTGGGTTCAGAGGTTTAATTGTTATCTGACACACTAAATGCAGTGCTTTGCTTCCATGCTATATGTAGTGAACACATATGCAACCCGTAGCATGGGTTTACCAGCAGCATTTGACTTGTATGATTTATTGTGTCCCTGTGAAGGTCGGGCGTATGGGAAGTGCCGTGGAGCTCTCCTCCATCCCCAGGTTTGTCGCGGAGCCGTATGGTCTGGAGGACGATCAGCGCAGCATGGGCTACGACGAGCCCGACTACGGCATGGGACACCAGATGCATTACAGCACCGTGCCCCGCAACCTGCATGGCTACCAACATGGGCCCCCCCCACGCAGGGCTGGGTAACACATGTTTTTTTTTAAGTGACACAAAGAATTATGATTCTATGTATGTATAAGAGTGATGTAGCGTCCCGTCCACAAACAATTATATTTGAGAGAAACGTCAAAGTAAAGAGAAAAATATATCGGATTTATATGTGACAGGTGGAAGTGATATTGGCACACCAGAAAGGGCAACGTTTTTTTTTACCAGACACAAGGAGGCCACTGGAAAGACAAGACAAGAAGACGTGAACAGATATTGCCGAACTATAGGATATTGTATCTTTGAAAATAAACTGCACAAAACAACGTTCTTGCCTGAACTTCTTACCCTTTTCCCTGCGTAAGATTCTGGTGCCTTAGCAGCAGTTCACATTTTGATTTAATTTTCAGTTTTATTTCTTTATAGTTTTGCAGCTAAAGGCTGCCGTTTAGTAAGTAATGTTATTCTCTTAATTCTCCAATTCCAAGTGTGTTTTTATTGCCTTTATCCACAAAATATCCTCACTACATCAATATATAGGGAGGCGTGTGGCGCAGTGGACTAGTGCACTGGTGTTCGGATCAGGGGGTCACAGGTTCAAACCCCACTGCAGTCAGCATGTCACACTTCAACCCAAATTTCTCCTGCGGAGATTGTCCACAGTATTGAGTATGTAAGTCGCTTTGGATAAAAGCGTCTAACAAGTAACATGTAATGTAATATAGGGTTTTTAGTCTAAAACATGTTGATATTGCAGCGGACTCGAAGGAAATAACTCTGTATAGTCTACCTTCACCCTAACACAGTAACAGTTAGACAGTGCAACCGTAGGAACATAGAATATTGAGAGTTTCCAATTGTTTTCTGGTTACGTTTTTAGCTTTTTTAGTAAACGACACACACCTTGTGTATTCAAAGGTAGTAGATGTTTGTCACTGCTTTCTCCCAATTTCTATTACATATGATTTTCAGCCCTAGCACAAACTTTTTTACACTTTCCCTCTCTGCTTGAATTGTTGGATGTCTATTTTCCCTCAACTCATATTCTCCTTCCTCCTCAGGAGTTACGAGGGCACGTTGGATGGCGACATGAGCGGCCCAGGGGACCAGTACTACTGGGGAGCCGGAGCCCCACTGGCGCAGGGGGAGAGGGGCAGCATGGCCTCGTTGGACAGCACTCTGAGGAAAGTTCCGGGTCCCGGCCCCGGAGGCTGGCGTCAGCCAGAGCTGCCAGAGGTCATCGCCATGCTGAACTACAGGCTGGACCCCGTCAGGAGCAACGCAGCGGCCTACCTGCAGCATCTCACCTACAAGAACGATAAAGTAAGAAGGGCAAGCGTATATGTTTATGGTTTATATCGTATCCAGTGTGATTTAGACTGGACTTTGACTCGGGGTAATTTGATGGGGAGTGCAGAGGTCAGAGCACCTTCTCTCATGACTGAGGATGATGAGTCATGTGTCTTCTATGCTTGATATGGGCATGTATGATGGAAGAGCAAGACAGTCTGTTGTTTTTCTACCAGAGTGGAAGTAAAATAAGCAGTAGATGGATGGGTAGAATACTTCATTTAAGAAAGTTTTCAGAGGAAAGCTTTTTTGATTGCTTTTCTCTTATTGGATCATTATCTATCTGAATCAAAATACTTTCCTTTCCTGGGGGGAATTGCGTTTTATCACAGTTGCTCTATTTTCAAATGAAAAATTATTTTAAAGAGAAAAATGTAATATGGTTGAAGTTTGAATGTGGAATTAAAAGATGTAATTCATAACTCAGAAACAAATATTTATATATAAAAATAGGAAGCTTAAGTAAAGTGTCCAAGCAAATCAATCAATAAAAAAAATGGATTGATTATTTAATAGGAAAGTTTCCTACCATCAACGCAACATAAAGTTTCTTCTGCCTTTTCTCTGTTAACGGCATAAGGCTCCAAAGTTGTTGTACTGACTAGAGAGGCGCTCATGTGAATTCAGGACCCCCCGCAGTTCGTTTTGTCCATAGGCTATTCTAATAAAGTTTATTTGAAGATAACACACTGCTGCATCCTCAATAGTGTGGACAAAAGAGAGCCTCCCCCCCCCGGAGCGGAGCAACAAAACGGAAATTAAGAAGCAGTTTCTTACGGCGCGCTATGCATGGGGCCCCCTTGAGGGGGTTTCCCGACATGTCGTTTGTTTGTTTGTAGCCTTTATTTAACCAGGTGAAAATCCCATTGAGATCAACGATCTCTTTTTCAAGGGAGACCTGCAGCACATTGGTTACACATAAAAACAACAGAAGGACATCAATACAAAATAATTACAGGGGTATACATTAGCAACCTATTCACAATGACAGATATCTAATAACATTTCATCTATCCAAGCTTTAAAATGATGCAAGGGAACCAAAATGCTCAGTTTCAATTTTGTTTGCATAGTGTTCCAAGCTAGAGGAGCAGCACACATAAAAGCTTTAGTACCTAAAACAGTCCTAGCACTTGGCACATGTAATAAAAACACATCCTGGGATTTCAGGCAATAGCTACTTGCCACTCTCTGTGAGATCAGAGAGCATATATAAGTTGGTAGTTTACCCAACATGGCTTTATAAATAAACATGTACCAATGACTGAGCCTCCGTACAGTTAGTGAAGGCAAACCTGCCTTGGCATACGGGTACAGTGAAAGTGATCATATGTTGTAAGTGTTTTCTTCATTTTCGGATCATGTGTTGAAAGGTTGAAAGACAATAACTTTGGGCTCGAAATAACCCCATGCTAACTGTATCTTGCAGGCATATAGTGAAGATTTAGAACCCACCGTCAAGAAACTGTTGGTCATTGAAATCAATTGGAACCATGTGATTTCTTTTTATTGTTTGTCAATTTTTTGCTCTGAAAATTATTACCATTTTTAATTTTTTTATCACTGGAATTGCTTGATAATGGAAATGGTCTTTTTAGAAAGGGAGTCCTCAAGTTTCAAATATTTTTCTATCCATCACCGCCCAATGAAAACCCTAATTAGTCTACATGATGGATAGAAAGAGAGCAATACAGGCTTCCCTTCAAGAATATTCAACCTCTTCAAGTCTGTCTTCTAAACCTGCCCTACAGAACAAATGTGCCCATTAAGGGACAATAAAGGTCTTGAATACCACAAGAAGCCGCTTCTATGAATGTACAGGAATTATTAAAACTGCCTTGATAAAAAAAAAACAAAAATGAGCGATTGAGGATTTGAGCCACACTTTGTTGACTTTCCTAATAGCTGTGTTCCACTGTCATCGCTTCCTCCTTGATTTAACTATTTGGTGTAACGATATGGCTAAAGGAGTTTGAAAGGGAGAGCTGGTAGTTCGAATAATAGAATCAGAAATCGTTCTGTTCCCTGAGTCTAGGCTTGGGATGTGAACGCTGCCACAGAGGAATATACTTTAGTCTTCTCTGCTTGGTGGTGACCAGTCCCCTGTCTGAACCGACCGCCCACCATGAACAGCTGGCCATAATCTGCTGCAGCCCTCTCATGTTAGCTTCAAATGTGGAGCTTATTTACACCATGCCAAGGTAGCAGCGATCGATCTCATGTGTGTCCACCAGCCAGCAGTTTGAAGGCTGTCCGTTCCTGTGAGAACATTGCCTGCCAGTCTTTACTCAGGGAAGTGCAGAAAACTTTATTTATAACTAAGGAATTATCACCCTTGCAGTTAACGTCTTTTAGCTCCTTTTTTGGTGCCCTTTTACGGCCTGCAAATTAATAAATCAATCACAAAAATAATATATAGCTATAGCCTAATAACCATCGTGTTAAAAGTTTGGCTGTCATTTGACCCAATTGAAAACTAACACGCAATAAATCCAAACCAAAAAATCCGCCATAAACAGAGGCGAACACATTGGAATTAAACTGCAGCGGTAGAGAAAAAACTGCTGAAAGCACCACTCCTCTCAGGCGGACGACCTGGCACTAGATATCGGTGTACAAAAATAAACATCATTATAAAAATAAATGCGAACATATGCACTCCGTTACGCAAATAAATAAAACACAGAAACACATTTGCTTTTCTCGCCCCCACTTGGGCAAACAGTGCAGCATGGAAACAAGTTTTGAAAAGCGCCAAGAGGCCAAACCGGCCAGGTTCAGAAAAGTCCACGCAATTCAAACTTCTATAAACCTGCATATTTCTGATGTCGCAGCCCAGGGACTCCAGTAGTTCAGAAAGGAGTCCTGTATCCCAGAAGTCTATCAAAAAAGTATGAGTTTCATCATTTATTAGTCAGTAATATTTCCTTCCTTTCAATACAGTGATGCTTTATTGCAGGGCAGGATGTAAGCTTTTGTAAATTAAAGATTACAGTAAAAATTAAATAGACAATAATTAGGTATGTTAACGCATGGCTACATTGTGTTCAGTCCCTAGTTTCGCGAGTGTATTCAGATGGGCGAAAAAGGACTGTTTTTTATTTGTTATATCATTATAGCAATGTACATTCGATCACATTAGGCTGGCATACCAAACAATTAGCAACTAGTTTTACGAGGGGTGAAACATTTCGTCAACACCCGGGCAGAGACGCATGGGTGGAGAGGGAGCCAAACCAGTAAAAAGTATACATAGCTCGACTATAAACAGTTGTAGAAGCATGCATCAAAGCGACCGCGCAAAAAAAGAATGCAGGTTTACATGTATAAGATATACATATGAAAAAGCTGCTTTGAAGAATATCAGGAGCCAATTGTTTCTTAGACCATATCAACGAGAAAAAGCTATCAAAATGCTCCCATTGACATTGGTAAAGAACTCTTATGAAGTTACATGTTTTACCCCAATTCCAAGGCCCCAAAGTAACCCTCCAGGTTGGCTTTATAATAGTTGGTGGCATGAACGCTTCAATATAGGAGCATGATGAAAACTGTAAAGAAGTGTTTTATATATTCTATTATGAAGCAATCATGCAATAAGATTAGGCATTTTAAGAAAATGCAAAACTAACTTTAGCAGTTTTAGCACATTAGTTGTAGCAGTGTTGACCTCCGTATACGCCCTTTGTTTTTGATTACAATTCCATCCAGACGCTGCTTGTGAGGTTAAGCATATCCAAAGGCAGCAACATGAACCTAAGATATGCTCTGGGCTTGTGTCGCAGCTCTGTTCAATGAGCGCCAGCTCCCTTATTCCCGATTGTATGGAAAGCCCAGGCTGTAAAGTATTTCACTAGTTTGGGCACTTTAATGCCTTGCAGGCTAATCATCGTCCTTTTTAAGGGGGCCGATGAAAATCACCGACTGACATGAATATAAAATAACAATGTGTGACGAGAAGACAATAGAATATACTATTGTTCGCTTTTTTGGCTAATATAAATTATTGAGTTATTGTGTTTTTGAGGTTGAGTCAGATCCTAACTCGCTGTAGGAACACAATGCAACCTCCATCATAATTTGAAAATTCCTCCTAGAAAGCCCCATTGGATTGGCAGGCAAAAGATCGGGCTCCAGC